CTCCATGGAGAGCAAACAGGAGCTGATCTCTGCTGGCGTTTTTGGGAGGCAGCGCAGGTTTCTGTGCTCCTGCATTAACCAACAGCGCCAGCTGGAGTTGTGTCTCTCGCCTCACCCCGCGGGTGCTGCAGGGCTTGGGAAGAACTTTTCCGTTATCTTATCAACTCTCCCAGGCACATTCCCTTGGAGCCAACAGGAGTTTCGCCACTTTCTTCAAGCTCCTTTCTCTTGATCAGAAAAAGAAATGTGTTTTCTCTATGAGTAGAGCATATAGACATAGGTCCATGTCACAAGTGTTCAGCATCATCATTTCGTTTGGACCCAAATGTCATTTCTGTTGTCTGGACTTTGTTCTGGACTATTATCACAAACACAGTTACGGACAGACCCTAAGCTGGATATGGGGAGGATATGGTATGGATATATACCAGTAAAAGCCTGGACTGTACATGGCATTGGCAGAATGGAAAATACTTTTAAGGTCTGATGTTTGATTTCATCCTCAATAATCTGTGAAGAAAAATCCCTTGTGCAAAAGGAATTTTTTTAACACAGAACTAGAGAAACTAAAGAATTCACAACATTAGTGCTTTGGGTATTGAATTTTCACAAAGCTTATTTAGTTAAGTGCTGGATACCAAATTTATGTCCATGGAGATAATGTAAGTATATTTTTGCATATTGGGTATGCCATCATAATTAAATAAATATGCAAAATCAGGATGAATTGCCCGTGCTGTCTCTATAGTCATAACTTGCACCATACTAACAAATGCTTTAAAGAAAAGTAAGTGTGTTCCTAAGCACAATGAATTTAGTGACATACAACAGCTGAAGATCTGCAAGCACATCACAGGTGAAAAATCCCGGCTTTCCTTTCTGCTACAGCTCTGGGACACGTACTCCAAGAGCGGCATCGCTTGTCTCACCGGGGAGGAAATAGGAAATTTCATCCAAACCTTGGATCTAACGGAAAGCGAAGACAGAGCGGCTGATCCCTGCTGGCAAGTAAAGTGGCACCTGGGAAAGTTAATTAAAAAGGTATTTGGGAACCAAGACGCTGAAACAGTGTGCTTGGTGATATTACTATTCGAAGAATCCTCTAACGGCAGAATAAAGGGGGGCTCTCGGGTTGTTTTATTGCAAAGCAATAGTCGAGCCATACCTTCAGCTGCAGAGTGCTTGCACTGAAGTGAAAAAAAATATTCCTGCCAGTGGTTTCGCTACATTCAGGAAATAATAAAGCAAAGACAATCAGTTTTTACTAAGCTAATTTCAGTGACACGTTGGCTTGGCTGAGATACCTGAGGGTAGAAGTGCTTGACTCGAGCGTGTTTTCTACCTGACCATAGTGCTAGCAGAGGTGTCACTCCCTCTTTGGAAATACGGGGAGACTGGCATGAGAAAATGAGATGAAATGTAACATGGGGAGAGGTAAAAAGGTGCCTGAGGAAAGATCTAGTCATGAGCTATGTAATGCATTAGGGGAGGAAAGAGCAAGGCGAGCGAGCACGCAGCATCGGGCATGGCACCTTCCCAGCTCAGCATTCAGAGAACACCATCTCCTGCGTGACTTACACACAATACGTATAATTTTTGGATACAGAGAAGAAAATAAGACTGGCTGAAAAATCAAAAAGGCTAAAATCTTCTGGAATGGTTTTCAAAATCCCATCTCCGGCACATAAAAAAAGCTCATACATAAAAATTCAGTCCTGGCTGAAACTTACCTGGCAAATCTTGCAGCCCAAAACAGATCCTTTATTCGTATTCAGAGATCTCGGCACCTTTGGTGGAAGTTCTATCAGTGAATTCCCTGAACTTCTGCAGAAGGAAAACATCGTTTTATTTGGTGGCCATTTACACATCTAATATACCTACAAGCTCCCCGAATGCTTAAAAGAAAAGATAGCCTGGGTGCCAGAAATAATAAATTATGATGGTGATAATATAGGTGGATGGATAGACAGATAAATAGCAATGTGGCAGGGCAGAACCCATCAGTAAGTGGCAACAGGGGGCCTGTGTTAGTCACCCGGGCAAATCATCTCAACCCATCAGCGTGTTTGCTGCAGCTGCAGCACCGCCGGTAACCAGAGTCGTTCGTTCCAGCAGTGAGCAAACGGTTATAAAGAAGGGGAATGCATAAAGCAAGATATGCTGGCTTAAGGGCTTAGACACATAGCTAGGCAGAGGTATAAAAATAAATGAAATTTAATTTCTCAGAGCTAAGATCCCACAGAAGCGCATGCCGCCAAGTGTTCTGTGAATGGAAGACGATGGTTGTACGCTGTATCTCTTCTTCTTTGAGAAAAGCACGAGGGCCAAAGCTTCCGAGAGACTTAAAGCCCAGATGTCTGAGCTCTCTTGAAAATGTTTTCCCATATATTTCATTACATAAAAGATTTAAACGTAGAAGTACTTTATTACAGCAAATCAATAGGCTTTTTTTATTTGCTTGTTGATCAAATCCAGAACACCCTTTATTCATGAGTTTGAGAAAGGAGTGTCTTTTTCCTGCGCATATCCGTCTCTGCTCACAAACTAATTCATTTTCCTTGTGTTTGTTGACAGATGGTGTCGGGAGTCTATGAGGAAAACATGTCTGCAGTCAACGGTATTATAATAATTCTATTATCTGTGGCAGAAAGGAGCTGCTAGTGGCACCTGATGCGTAGTGACTCAATTTTTTAAAAGTGCAGAAAACACTGAGTAAGATCTTGTACAGGCAGCAAGTCATCAAAAAGTGATCACATATTACTAGAAGGCAAATTTCCAGGGGCCAGAAATATGGGCAAGTGGTTAGAGGGAGGTAACCAACGTGGATGCAGAGGACTCGGCTTCTAGAGCTCAGTCGCACAGTGTTACAGGCAGACAGGAACAGTCTCTCTCCTGGGAACACACAGCACTGAGCTGCCGCACGCGTGGATTAGTTAAGGAATAGCTCTGCTGAAGCTCCTACAGCTCTAAACACGTTGAGCAAAAGCATTACAACCTCCAAGTGGAAATTCATAAAGACATTTCAAGAAGAGCGAGAGAAATTTGAGCCTTATTAGCCAACGTATAGCATTCAGTCTATGATTTAGCCAATTAAAAAGATGACATACCTATTCCTTAAAGTCAGGTCGAATGGGAGAGACGTGCTTTCTAAGCTTCTTGCTTCTAACACGAGGTTCCTTTTCTGGTCTTGCCTTAGGTGACAGAGCCCTGACGCTGTCGCACACCGATGGGCAGCCACCGCGCAGTCCCGTCAACAGGATCGCAGCGCATCTGACGGGCAACAGCAATAGGAAGAATTCCCTGTCCCCACGCAGTAAGGAAAAACCTTTAAACACAGGGAAAGATCGCAGAAATTACTCTCTCATTGCTAGCCTCATGCTTACATACGCTTTTTGATACTTGCATTGAGTTAACAGTAGGAAACAAGTCATAAAAAGGTGTTCTAGTCCCAGACAATGTCTTTTTTCAGCTCATTCTCGCAGAACAGGGAGAAAGCCCGTTGCCTCTGGGCACATCCTTAACTCTTCTTCTGGAACCTTCATTAGGGGAAAAAATACAGGTATCCTTAAGGATACTTATTAGGACAGGGAACTGCTGGAGAGGGTCCAGCAAAGGGCTACAAAGATGATGAAGGGACTGGAGCATCTTTCTTATGAGGAAAGGCTGAGGGACTTGGGGCTTTTCAGTCTGGAGAAGAGAAGACTGAGGGGGATCTTCTCAACGCTTATGAATACTTAAAGGGCGGGTGCCAGGGGGATGGGAACAGTCTTTTTTCAGTGGTGCCCAGTGACAGGACAAGAGGGAACGGGCACAAACTTGACCATAGGAAGTTCCATCTAAACCTGAGGAGGAACTTCTCTCCCGTGAGGGTGGCAGAGCAGTGGCACAGGCTGCCCAGAGAGGTGGGGGAGTCTCCCCCTCTGGAGCCATTCCAAACCCGCCTGGACGCCGTCCTGTGCCACTGCTGGAGGTGCCCCTGCTCTGGCAGGGGGTGGCACTGGGGGAGCTCCAGAGGGCCCTGCCAACCCTGACCCGTCTGTGATTCTGTGATTCTTCCTAATGTTAATTTTTCCTCTTTTCTTTCCTTTAATTTCCTTCTGTTAGCTGTGTGACCAGCTGCTATGGTGACAGACCTATTAGAAATGCAAGATGGAGACAGGAGAGTTGACATTCAGGCCATATTAATGAAAGGCTTGGTAGGGTTTCTACAGCTTTGGAGGGTATCAGATGCAAATGGATATTTTAACTTTGTTACTAAGTAACAATATGATGATTTTTCTCTTCTTTGGGAGCATAAAAATTAAAAATGAAGGTAGTTCACGTTAATTCCCATGTAGAGCTAAGCAGCTTACTTCTGGACCTTGAAATTATTTTGAGAATGGACCTAATGAGCTGCTGGGAAGAGTGGGTTTCCTTACTTTGTTATTAAAAACAAGACTCCCTGACCAGCGGATACCTGGCTTCACTACCTGGCTTTTAATGTGACATTTTCTCTCTTTTTTTCCAAAGTAGATTCCTCACCCAGAAGAGGTAATGGACAAAAAATAAGCAACTGGGAATCATCAAGGAAAGGCCACTCTTTCCTGTACAACGTGGAGCTGAGAAACGGCGAGTTAGTGATACCCCAAACGGGCTTTTATTACATCTACTCACAAACTTATTTTCGTTTCCGTGAAAACGAGGACGAGGATTCCGATTTGCTGGCACAAATCAGGAACCCCAAACAACTTGTCCAATACGTTTACAAACTGACTAATTACCCAGAGCCCATTTTGCTCATGAAAAGTGCAAGAACAAGCTGCTGGTCTAAAAAGGCAGAATACGGACTTTATTCCATCTACCAAGGTGGTGTGTTTCAGCTGAAAAGAGAGGACAGGATTTTTGTCTCGGTCAGTAATGGTGACATAGTTGACATGGACAAAGAAGCAAGTTTTTTTGGTGCCTTTATGATCGGTTAAAAGACGAAACTCATGCTCCGAAGGAGCCAGTTTTCCTAGTCAGGACCAGCTTAACATTCTATAAAATAGGGGATAACGAGCAAACACCGTAGCAATACCGCCAATACCAGACTCCCCTTTCTCAGCTCACTCTGCGCGAGGTCCGACCGTGCCCAATACTCTCCCACCCACCGGGAAGGAGCAGCAGCAGTTGGCTGCAGCTGTGGGTGGTGGTGCTTTGCACGGGCACGGGCACAGGCACCCGGCTGGGGACGTGCGAGGATTTCACACGCCACAGGTGATACCTTCGGCCAGAACCCCAGGCAGGTAAGCGCTCACCACCACCTCCGCAGAGATGCTCCACACCAGCTCAGCCGTGGCAGGTGGGATGGAGGATGCTCTGGGTCGGGTCACTTGAGGCTGAGACTAGACATCAAATTTTATTCGTGGTCTCCACTGGGACCCCGTCTTGAATATCTCGGCTCCCCTAAGGAGCCTTTGGCCAGTGCTGCTTCCCAAATGCCTGCGGAATTACTCTGGAAGTTTTTGTTTGAACCAGAGTTTTACAAAAGTTGAAAGGCCATCAGAAACTCAAACCGCACATCTTTATCTCATCTAATAAAGCACTTAAGCGTCTAATTAATTTTAAGCACACGAACGGTCTGACTGAATCAGGGTGTTTACATGCTTGAAATTAAATATGTGCTTAAGCATTTTTCAGGATCATGGCTTGAGTAAACACATTAGTCTGTCTTAATCAGGATATTGTACATAAGAACAGCTGCTGAAATGGCACAGAAGAGGCTTTGAAATGAATCAGTATTTTGATCAGCACATTACGATAGTGCCTATTTACTGAATTGCTGCACTGCAAAGATTTCACCAGGTTTCCAGCACGTTCGGTAATGTAGTTGCTTTTACACTTGTTGACAGCAAGTACTTCATCCAGAAAAAAAAAGTGTTTTTCTGTAAATACTGAATTCTGTCAGACATTTGCCACAAATTAAGCATGACAAGGTTCTTCCATGTTTATTTGTACTGGCCTGTGTTTGGTAGGATGTAATGCAGAACAACACACCCCAATGACTAATATTTTAAGGAAAACATACGCAACTATCTGTACTTAAAGAAGAGCTGCACTTTTGGTAACGCTTTTTTGATTTTTATTTTATGTTTAGGAATGGGTGGAAAATTTTCATAATTTTTGTTTAAACCATAATTTTTTTTAAAAATGGCTACTATATTTTTTAACTTTACGAGTGGGACTGTTTTATAGTTTAAAAAAAAAAAAGAAAAAAAAAAAGATTTACAAGTGTAAGCCATGTGGCCTAGATCCACGGCATAAATCAAGTAGCATTAATCAGCACATCTGCAGCATTGTCAGTGGAGCTATACCAGTTTGCACCGGGAGTGCATTTTGCCCAGGTTCGGAGAAAACAGTGGGGAAAAGAAGGTGAAAGTGAAAAAAAATTGGAGGGGAAAGGAAGACAGTTGTTCTGCAAATGTTAATTTCCATCAACAGAATGATGCCAGGAGAAAATCTGCTTGTCTGTTTTTTTCATACACTAAGGTTGCCGTGGGAACCCTCACATTCACTTCCACATCGTGGTAATTAAATCACTGTACAGCCCTTGCATAGGGGCCTCGTGAGTAAACATGCATCATTGATCTTACTACTTTGTCGACAAGAGGAAATGAGTAGACACAAGCCCCTGCATTTATTTTGTCATTCAGAAAAGCCAGTATGTCTGTTCACTTTTAATACCCGTGTTTGAGCAGCAAGAGAAGAATTTCAGGAATACCCTCCTTTTGACAGGTTGGGACCAAAAAATCACACTGCCGTAAGCCTAAAATGATGAGTTTTAACTTTTGTCTGCTGGTTTATCATAGCGTCACCTGTACTGTTTTCAGTGGTAGAATGGAATATGGGAAATTCTTCATGGTTTACTGGAACCCTTGGGTTTGCCTCAGTCTCAAATCACCTGTTTCAACAGAGAACAGAAAACAGTTCTACAGTTTTCTTTCTGATTTCAATAGTTCGTTCAGAAATTTTCTGCCTGCCAGAAAAGGCTAAGGAGAACAAAGCCGTTCCCTACATATCTGGATGTCTCCTGTGTCTGACAAATTACTTTTTTAAGTTCTCCTTGCAAACGGGCCGGCCTTTTTGATTTCAGCACAAGGTTGACCTATGTTATCAGCTTTGAGGGGGTTTGTAGCAATTTATTATATTAAAAAGTTTGTGTGTTTTTTTTTAAGAAATGTTATTTTAGGAATTTGTTGGAAAGAAAATTTATTTGAACTGTGAAAAAGTATTTCAGATTTACTGGTGGCAGCTTAGAGTCAGAAACCCTCCCTGATGGCTAAGAACCGATTTGTGTAACGTAGGAGTCGTGGCTGCTGGAAAGGGCTGGAGGGGAACCGGAGGGGACTCCACAGACTCGCAGCTGATGCTGAGACGAACTCTATTACTCACAGATTTTTTTGCTCCATGTTCTCTCCTCAACTCTCAATATATAAGACCATGCCGGCTGTCACTTGAGGAAGACTCCCTGGCATTATCTTCCTTTTTTTTTTCTAAATGTACATATTCTTGCTCTCCGCATGCAGAGCATATCTCAACAGCGATCACACCGAATAACTGTATTTTATTTCTGCATAATCCAAAGGCGTGCTTGCCAGGTATTCTCTTGGGGAGAGGTCATTGTGCAATATCAGAAAAGACACATTTGCAGATGAATGGACAGATACAGCAAGTTCTGTTTGTACATCTGCACCCTGAATCACACTTTCCATCTCACTTCATGTTGAACGGTGAATGTAGCAGATTTTTATTTGTGGATGTAGGTTGCGGTTACATGTAAATATTGTAATTTTTCTACATGCATTTTATATAAAACATTTTTAGAAATAGTTATGTAGTCCTGCAATGATTGTTGGTTTCATCCTGTGGCTTCTGTAAGAACAACCCAGTCTGACATAATTTGAAATCATTTCTCTGACACTGGTTGGTGTCAGTTATAATCCATTAAATGCCACAAACTGTTGCAACGCAAAGGACATAATGCAAGCCATTCAGCAATGCCCTATTGTATAATGCTATGTAATTGGCTTCCAGAGCCTGGTTGGCGAACAGCGTCTGGAAGAATTACACTGAAGAAAACACTGAAAGTGATCTCATGACCAGAGACTGTAAAACCCCGAGCACTTTCCTTGAGGTCCTTCTCATGTTTCTGGGCTTTGGCAATTACTTAAGTATTGGGAAATGTATTTAGTATGGAAACATCTAATTCTTATCCATCGCCAAACTACAGTAGAAGATATATTGAATTCAGAGGGATGAGGACCATTTACACAGATGTTGTAAAGCAGCCATAAGCTGGAGACCCCCTAATGTTGAAAACAAACACTCCCTGCCCCAAAAGCAAAGGCGGGATACTGTTTGGTCTATCTGCTCCACTTCCCGAATTTGCCCCACCGACAAAGGGGATGAAACCCAAGCGAACCCTGGAAACTCAACAAGACACGAAGGCACCATCGAACCTGACCCCAGTGGTGAGGTGGGAGAGGGGGTGGGTTTGTCCTGCACATACAGAGAAGGGCTGCGGCTGGAGCAGCAGCACCGTGCCACAGCAGGGAAACCCGGGGGAAAAAAAAACCCTTGGAAAATTGCCCCCGCCTTAGCCACCCCCAAGGGCTGTTTCACCTCGGGGTGTCTCCCCTGGCTTCTCTTAGCGGTTCCCAATATTATCTTTACTGTCACTGCAGCGGGCTCTGGCAGACCCCCACATGGCTGTTTTACGTGCCGCACATCTACGCGATTAACAAAAGGATGCTTGCCTCCCTAACGGACTCATAATCTAAACACATTTAGCCCAGTGTTTGGGTTAGGCTTTGTTTGGAATAGCTGGGCATGCCTCACGCCTCCGGAATCAGACGAGTAGGTCTGTGCGCGCAGCTCTCTCCCCATCCATGTCGAGCCCCACTGGAACCAGTATGCCATCACTGGGGAGGAGCAGCCCCTGCGACCACAGCCCTAAATTGCAGGGACGCCCCCAGGTTTTAACAAGAAATTGTTCCTTTCTTAGAGAGTGCTTTTATTTCAGCAGAGGGTTCTCTCTTCTCTGGTGTTTCCATGGGGAAGAAGACATGGCAGCTAACTGGCTTTTATTGTACCTTGCATCACTTCATGGAAACGGACTTCTATTTTTTGCCTCTCTTTGCCTTAGTAAATGTAACTATTATTGTTTGTATCGCAGCAGTATTCACTGCCCAAGCAGGATCAGGGATGCATTTGTTGTACTCCCTGCAAACGGTTAAATAGCCTGATGCAGGCACTGAGATTCATAATTTATAGTTTTCAGATTACATCTAAATATTAGGGTCTGAGAAAAGACTGAATGTAATGATCAATATAACATAAATAAGCACACTGAGACAAGATCTCATTCATCCCTCCAAGGCACCTTGTGCCATTCAGTAGCAGAAATGGAAGACAGATTAGGATATCGTTGGGTCTGATCCAATTTCCACAGGTGGGTGGGTTCTTTTCATGTAGATTTACATGGAATTTTATAGCAATTTTCATCAGAACCATCCAACACTTGGTTCTCCATAACTTTTATCTGCATTAACAGATTGATATTGCACGCTATATCACGTGTTAACAAGCATTAATTTTCCTCTGATTACCAGGGTACCGCAGTTAACTGCCTGACCGCACAGCACTGCTGCTTTGTAATACCACGGCTTTTCCTGAGACGTTCATAACCCAAACCTATACAGACATTTCCATTAATGTCTTCTGAAAGTTCTAGAGGTGACATCGAGTTGGGACACTGGGTCATGACAGAAGTGCTGTCAAACTTCTCAGGGTCAGTGAGACGGGGCTGCAGCTTATGGCAGGAGCCTGTCGGTTTAAGCAGCTTCCCATTTTTCTGGGCTGTTCTACCACGGTTATATAAATCACACTCCTTGTCTTTGATGTGCATAATACTTTTGCACCGAACACGTCACGTATACAACACTCACAGCATTAACAAGCATCCAAAGTTGTTCAAACTGCCTTTCAGAAACCAGCGATTTAAACCCAGCAGAATCCGAGGCACAAATTCCTCCTCAAGATACTCTTGATTTTGTCTGACTGTGAATTCTTCAGCTCCTATTATTTGCAATTTATGCTGAGTCATGCGTATTTAGCCCATATAACTACTGGTTGAAGACAAAGTGGATTAACTGCAGATTTGCTGGTGAATTGAGCCAAGTTATCACTCCCCATTTAACATGAGATAGACAGATCAACAAGAAAGTATGCCCAATTAACTACGCCATCCCATCCTGCATGTTCTGGCACTAAGGGAACTCAAATCATAATGGATATTAATAAACACATATAAGCCAGGTGAACATCTCCATCCAAAGCCAGGACAGCTTTCCGTCAAAACCTTTAGAAAGACTGTCTAATGATACTCAGAAAATGCAGGATACATCTCCTACTGCTCTCACGTTAGAAATTATTTACTGAACACCCTGTGCTTTTAACCCAGAGTAAGCGTACCTGTGATGGATGAAGCATATTCTCTCTCCACTTGGTGAACAAGTCGAACGAAGAGGGACATCAATGGTCAGGGTGTGACCTCGCGGCATATTGAGCTGAAACCCGGCGAAAAGCTACATCTGAAACGGATGCCTCTGAATTAGTGGCGTTAGAGCACAGCTTTGCTGATTAATAAACTAGCACTGTTTTGAAATCTGCTTGCAGATGTTTACTGCCATATAAACAACTGCAAAGTCATTTGAGCACATTCTGGGGTTTACGTTATTAAGTTGGATTACGGCTATTTCATCAGCGCTACTCACTGATGATAGGTGCTAAACTGTAACCTTTGAAAGCATACACCAGATGCTACCTTCTGTTCTTAAAATACATTTATAATAAAAGTCAAAACATCTTCTGCCCCTGGATATAATAAAAACCCTGCATTTGCTTTTCTGCGAATTGTTGGAGCTGCATAATTTTTAAATGGAAGATCTCTCCCTTGAAGTCTGTTTTCCACTTTCTTCATCTCTCCACAATAAAACCATAATCATTCTATACCCAAAGCCTTCAGATATTTCCATGACAACAAACAATGATATAAACAAGAATTAAAACTTTATTGGATGAGAAGAAAATGGAAAGAATGGAACATAGGAGAGAGATTTCAAAACTCCATAAATAGAAGCTCTCTTCGGTCTTACCTCCAGTGCTCAACACAGCTTTAATGCTGCCAAAGAGAAGCACCAATATTTTAAGAGTTCCATGAAAGGGAAATGTCCATCATAATGTGTTTTTTTTAAATTATTTTTTTTAAAAGTCCTTAACTTCTGCCTCTTTCTCTCCATTTCTCTCATCCCAGTAACATCAGTGACTTCAATTTTTTCTGCAGTTGTGAAGGCAACATAAAAGTACTGTTCTCGCAGCTGAGGGCAAGTAGATAACTTTCTGGAGCCTAAAGCCATCTTCTCTCACAGCTCTTGCATCTTCTGTCACCATGATCTTCACCACTGTCCTTCAGCATATGCAAAGTGGAGGTGGGAATTCATTATCGTGCAACGTTTGTGGGTGTCAACTCTATATCCCATCAAAATTTGGCCTGCAATTGCCAAAGAAACCAGAAAGAATCAGAAAAATGGAGCTGTTTTTCTTCTCTCTCAAGCTGACTTTATTTCTGGTCCTGACCCCACGAAGGAAAAGCAGCCAGAGAAGTCCTTGACTCATGATACCCTTTAAACAAGAAGGGGATTGATGTTGCGGGATTCAAAGCACAACTGCCATTTCTCAGCCAAGTGGCTCAGCACATCAAACTCCCAATGAACTAAGTGTTAATTCATTGCATTACAAGCTCAAACTGTCCGGAGTATATAAATCTGGTGCTACCTCACTCTTGGCTGCTTGATTTTGCTACACAGACTTCACTCGGAGTATTATTTTAATAAGAAATAAATTTTTTTTCTGAAAAAAAATTAAAGAGAGCTTTTTTCTTCCTGGAGAAAGGGGAAGGGTCATTTTTGACAAGATACAGCTCAGCAAAAACTGGAAGAATTTCATGAGAATGAAGGATGCTCTCTACACAGAAAAGTCACATTTATAGCTTCAGGCCATTTTCTCTGCCAAATATCAACATCCTGCAGCTAATGCCACTGGTCTGAGAATTTATCAGGGAAAAAAAAAAAAAAAGAAAAAAGAAAGAGTGAAATAGTTCTTTATAATATGACAAAGTATTTGGCAGCCTAAATACAGAGGCGGTTATCAGCTCCTCCATAACATAATGCAATGTCATTTAAATTAGATTGGACACAAAACTGTGATATGAAATAACTTTACACTGGTGGCATACAGGCCATGATTTTTCTTCAGAAACATATAAAACAATTATACAGGCAGCTGGATAAACAAAGTGAGAAGCACGTTAGGCTCTTTCTTCTCTTCAGCTGCAATTAATGTGTAGCCATCCCCCATAAAATTTAGCAACTGTTGAATAACTTGCAACAAAACTGTCCCACGGTTCAAGAGCAGTAATGATGAATACCGATTCCAATGAAACTGCAAAAATACATCATCCAAATTAGGATACGCAGAAGGCACTAAGGCTGATGCTTGCATTATAGCAGAAACCGCTCAGGTGAAAACAGGCTCGTTCCTGTCCTCTGTGCTCTGTCCTTAAATAAAGCTCCACCGTGATGAAATAGCGGTGCTAGCGGGTGGCGTACAAACGTATGTGAGTGCACCCCAGAAAAACAGCATAAAACTGTTTCTTAGCTGAATTAACCTAGGTGCCAACATGGATTCAAAGCACCGGTGCCCCCTCCCACCCCGAGAGATGGGGTACAAGGGAGGGGATGTGGCCCCTCTAGATCGACAGGGGTGAAAAAAGGTTGTGCTGTGGCACGTTCTCTCTGACACTTTGCAGGGACAAGTTGGAAAGGAGGAGAGAGACTCTCTTTACAGGTGGCCTGGAAGTCACTTTACTGTCCCTGATCTCACCTTGTGCTGCTTCCATCTTCTTCTTGGGTACGACATCACCCTTTAGGAGTGCGTAGGAGCCCGCAGGTGGGGAGACACAGTCATAAGGTGCGGGGCTGCAGAAATGCGCCGAATCAAGATTTAATTGTGGGCAGAGCGTATAGATAGAGGGCCATTACCGCAGCTTCGCTCAGCTGGAGCCTTACGGGGCTCCTGCCAAGATCCAAGGGCAGAGCGAAGATGCAAAAGGAAGGGACCGCGGCCGCCGCCGTCCCCGCGCATCCTTGCGCGGCCGCGCGCCCCCCGCCCCCCCGGC